GCAAAAAATATTTTTTGATACATTTCCTCAAATACCTACTTCCATGAAGTATGGATCAAACTTGTTAATTGAAGGCGAATTTGGCTGATTTAAGAACACATACATGAAAGAATATAAATACATAAGTAAATATTATCTGATTCAAAAACTTTCACATATATATTGCACTCTTTTAAATTTTAAGATAATGTACATCTTTTAACTCTCCACCTCACGAGCTGAACCTTCGCTCCAACAAATTGAGGCCTTTTCCTGTATGTATGATTCTTGCAATAATCACTAAGTGCAAAACATTATAATTTAAGCTACGTACAAATCTAGAAGCCTCCAAATATATCAATGTAGGACATATGAACGAAACAAATTAATACCCAATACAAAGATTGACTTTATCAACCTACAAATCAGCTGAAATAGCAAGACATCAGTCACCAGGAAAAAACCTTAAATGAGGAAACGTGCACTAATGGGGTACTGGCAGCCAGAAGATGAAGTTATAATGGAGGCAGCGACCCCCAAGGGGAGATTATGAGGTAACTGACATGTTATTACAACAAATTTGGAGTAATTAATGTGAAATTGTGAATAGATATTAGAAAGAAATTCCCATCTGAAAAAGGAATACTGTCTGGATAAAGTGAAAGAACTGGGACACAGAGAGGGATGGGGAGCCGCCACGGGGTGATTGTAGGCTTTGTAGCATGGCTCCCAGGAATTTTGGATCTGTATTATAGAAATAAGCTTGATTCGCTCCAAATGTAGGAACAAGAACCATACGATCCTCCACAACTGAGCGAAAATTGTTATAATTTGACTGAGTGGCCCTTCTCTGCTGAATCGTATACCCCAGAGCAGATCCCCGTCCAGAGTTTCAGACTCGGTAAATTTATGAAAGAGGGCACAAGAAATTACCGGCAACAAACATGGCGCAAGGGAAATAGTGATATGGATTCCAGTTCTATATACCGTCCGTCGGCCGCTGGATTTAGAGTGCCGAGATGGTAGATGCGGTTGATAACTCCGGGTCAGATGTCGGGCTTCCGTTCCGGTATTCCTTCGAAGATGTCGGAAATTCCGTGGCTGTGGGCGGTGTTATTGATGATTAACCGTCCGTTGGCTGGACGGTGGTTATCCAGATAGTAATTACCAGTTGACCAGTTACGGTTTTTTCCGTTACATCGACAAAAAAAGAAAAAAAGAAAAAAAAAAAGGCACACATACTGTTTACACCATAAATTGCAAAATTTTAAATTAATGCCACATGTAAAATTTTTATTAGCTGGAGGAGTTTGAGTCATGTCAGATTCGGATTCTGGATCCTATGATAGATTAGCACATGTGTTGGCAAGATAGGAGAGGTAAAGATAATGTTTTATGGAGTAATTATCTTCTTGAAACAGAAAGAGATAATGGCAGCTGGAAAATAAGTGAGGATCACAGTTAAAAAGGAGGATTTTATCTGATAAAGCACAAGTGGCAAAATCTGAAAGGGGATTCGACTCGGTCAAAAGGTGAGGTGTCCCACTACTCCAACAAACTACCTATGATTGAGCAACTGCCGGCACAAGAGGAACAAAAAAGGAACTTCGGCATAAGAGGAACAGACGGCTAGCCCTACTCAAACATCAGCAAATTTTCATACTTTGATTTTCTCTGCACATGCTTCCAGATTTCGGTTTTCAGCACAGATTTCATATTCCAGCACAGATTCCATTAGAATTAGGTTGTTTTTCATCATTCCAGTAGACAAATTAATTCCTATATTCAGTTAAACAATTTCCTTTCATGCAATGAACTTCAATCCTTCAAGTTTATGCAAGGTATTATTTTCTTTTCATTTGTAATTAATTTAATATTTATGTTAAGTAGCATTGCTTCAATGATTACTTATGTGGCTTTCATGCTTCTTTTCAATTTCAAGTTCTTCAATTTCTTCACTGTTCACATTTAAATTTTAGTGTTAATTTAGGAGAAAATTTTCAGTTCTGTAGCAATTTAATTTCTAAATCTATCAATAGATTGCATTTTAATTTTACAATGAACATGTTTACTTTAATTTGGGCACAGCTTTTTCTCACAAATTCACTTTAAATTGCAACTAATTTAGAGTAATTAGGATCTGTTAATTTTAAGTCACGGTAGTGTTTTAAGTCATTGGAGTTGTCCAAGGCAGATTTCGTAACCCATTATGCAGGAAGGTATCCCTCCCTTTTGCAAATCGTCTGAAGGCGCAATTTCAATTTTAATCCAACGTTCTTCCCGCCATCTGTGAAGAGGTCGACCGTGAGGAAGGAGAGGGTCGTTGTGAAAGTCCTCCTTTCTTACTTTCAGCAAAATAAGTGGCACGCCCGCAACCAGATTTTACACGTGCGAGGCCACTAGAAGATTTTTGAAGAAACACGTACAAAATATAGATTTCTCCGTTCGAACTTCGAAGTGTCTGGTACCAATCATTTTTAATCCGCGTGGGAGGAATTTAAATTTTTTAAATAAAATTTAAATTTAAATTTTATAAATAAAAAAATAAATATTAAAAATATAATTTTTATATGAAATCTAATTTAATTTTAAATTAATTAAAATACAATATAATTTACACGGATGCTAAAAAAAAATAAATCAAGTGTCTAGTGCAAAATTTAGAGGGAGGTTCAGTTATCTCTATCTGATATTACCCCTGTTCTCCTCAAAACGCATGCGGTCCATGGTTTACAGTCTTTCCCAATTTTTGGGCCTTCCATCTTCCATGGCCCAAATCCATATGTTTGGACCGACCGAAGGAGTACTTAAAATATAGACTAGCAATTGAGGCACCATGGGCCCTTAAAAGAGTGTTTTTAAGTGATAAAAAAATTAAGGTTTTATATTAAATATCTTTAATTTAAATTTTAAAATAAGTGAGAAAGAATTACAGAAAAGAAAGAGCTATAGTGATCATCTAATATATTAAAAAAATTCATAAAATTTAATCTTATATTATATATATATATCAAATAATAAGTTATATAACAAAAAATAACTTTATTTTTTTCAAATCTTATTCACCTATCTCATAATTTAAAATTAAAATTTGTAATATAAAAACTTAAATTATTAATTATTAAAACAACTCAAATTCTTAATTATTGAAACATCTCAAAACAAAGCAGATCTTATTTGCTACCCCGTGATTTATATGCTCGGAGGTTGCTAGATTGGGAGTTCACCTAGCACTTGTGAATATTTCCCCTTCCCCTGATAAATTCCTCCATGTTAGTAAAAAAAAAAAAAAAAAACCAATATTCTAACAAATCATATTTTCATATCTTTGAACTTTTATAGTAGGCTAGTGTCATGTTCTACTAAAAATAGGCAATCGAGACCTAAGTCACCAAACACTATATTGTCAATGGATGTGCGGATCTTTTAAAATTAATGCATATTCAAGTCATAACCTAATTTGTTGAGGTCGATAATTTAACAACGAATTCTATACGTTCATAATCATTAATCCAAAGATTAATTAACAAAAGGAGATGTAATCATGAAGAGAAAAGAAATTTTATTGTTGAGTAGCTTCTTTTCTTTTTGCCGACGTTGACTCCCTGCCCAGCTTCTTTACCTCCTTTCTTATGTACAATTGATCAAAGCATATATAATTTAATATAAGTGATTTATTTTGTAGTTTATACTATATATTAAATTGTAAGATATAGATTATTAAACGAAAAAAAAAAAAAAAACTTAAGGAGTGTTAAAGAAATCTCAAATTAATTACTACGAATATATATGCTATGATATGTGCTTTAATACCAATCTTTTATCTTGTAATTTACAATTCTCTATAGTATTATAATAACTATATTATTGTAGTATAGTGTAGTTTAATTTAGTGATAAAATTTGTTGTACTCTTAGTTATAGAATTAAAATTCAATCTTTAATCACTATGCATATAAAAAACAAAAACATGGCATTTAATTTGCCCTTATAAGTTATAACTAATAAGGAACTTGTTTTTTAATATTGAGGTAATTTTTTTATTAATAATTATAAAATATGTAATTTAAATAAAATAGAGTATAAAATTACATGCCCTATATTAAAGAGAAGAAATAAAACCGATTCTGATTTTTTTTTTTTTTTTTTTTTAAGTTTTGCCCTATCATTTGGATCTTAGTTTTTTGGGAAATCCAACTGACGGGCCGGGGAATTAAAAAGCAAAGATTAAATAAAATAAATAAAAATTTGTTGTACAATGAATGTACCATAACAAGATTGGATTCTTTTAAAAAGATTAATAAAAAATAATTTTATATAAATTTTTTAATTTAGGTATGATTAGTTTATATTTTTATTAAATTAAAAAAAATTAATTTTAAAATATTTAAAAATTAATTTAAGAACATCATAATTACTAAAATTAAAAGACAAAAGAAAGTAAAATATCGTGAATGCAACGTAGTGGGTATCATAATCACTAAAATTAAAAGAAAAAAGAAAGTAAAATACGGTCGACGGACCGTAGTCGGCAGAGAGCAATATTAAAAAAGGTACAAATAAAATCAACCAAAGAATTATATACAAAATCAAATCCTCGAGTCCAAAGTCTACACAAAATATAGAAAAATTAAAGAGTTAATTCAGTCGGCCAAGCTTAATTTTCTCCTGCTCCAGGAGGAACCTACCCCAACAATATTCTCCATCCCAACTGCTATAAATACAGCTGCATTCTCCAGGACATAGCACTAACAACTGGGGTTTGGCCAGCTGTGCCTTGTTCTGAAGTAATTCTGAAGAGTGCTTAATTAATTTCTTCCTCATGTATAGTAAGGAAGAATCTGTTAAGCTCAGGAGGGATAGCGCCATGGAAACAATTAAACGATCTTCAATCGATCCCCACTTGATTTTTGATCGTCCATGATGGCGCTATCCATCCTGAGTTTCATAGCTTCTTCTTGCTCCTCCCCTGTTTCTCTTCTACAGAGAAAAATGCAGAGTCATGTCTATGTTTTAGCTCCTCATTTCTGAACCCCATCTTTCTTTGTAGTTGATCTTTTTCATGTTATGAGTTCCTCTATTTCTGTACAGAATACTGATGCTTCTTTTTCTTTTTCTTTTTCTTTTTTTTCTTTGAGTTTTACTAGCCTTGGATAATATCAAATTAAATGTTTCAAGTTTACATATGACTGAAATCCAGGATGCTTGTGCACTGGAGGAGGTATGATTAGCCATGGAGGCATACAAGGACTTATCCGGAAGGTTAGGAGCAGATGATGTTGACTTCAATTCCCAAAACGTTGTCCAATTAGCAGGCCCTCATTATTTTCCCTTTTTTCAATTGAATGTGTAAAAATTCAAAGGAAAAAGGCAAATGCATTACGCAGTTTATGTACTGACAAGAGAGCGTGGCTGTGGCAGGCATTCCAGGCGGCTTAAATTTTGTTTAATCTGCATTAGATTTGGATTAACTGAAATAGATAGAAAGGGAGGGACAGGAAAAAAATATGTTTTTTATTTAATTATTAAAAAAATTAGAGTGTAAGAAAGAAAAAAAATTTACTTTTTTTAAAAAATATTTTTTATTTAATTATTTGTGTAAATAAAAAAAGGATGAAGAGATATAATTTTTCTTTTTTCCACTCTCCTCTCATGTTCTCTTTCTCTTAATTTAAATATAAAATTAATTGACATTTGTAAATTTTTTTTAAATGAATGGTTATAATATTTAAAAATATTAATTTATAAATTAATTTTAATTTATTAAATAATAA